ATACTTACGTGCATGCATGCATGCATGCATGCACATTCAGGGTAGCGGCCCCACACAGGAAAAGCAGATCCATCAACACACACACACACACACACCTGTCTCTTATACACATCTAGATGTGTATAAGAGACCACTGCGCGCCGCGCCGGCCGCCCAAATCTCGAAGCAGCGCGGGCTGTCGATTCGATTTATCGACGGCCCGCCGGCCGCGGAAATCGCATAGCGTTAACGCTAAGGCGTCGCCCAAGTACTGGTGGTTTAAAGGACAACCTGGTTTGAAAAAAAAAGATTTCTTTTTTTTTTTTTTTTTTTTTTTTTTTTTTTTTTTTTTTTTTTTTTTTTTTTTTTTTTTTTGAGAAGTAAAGAGGGGGGATGGGATTGGGCGCATTAGCCGTGTTATGACCGTGCCATAAAGGAGGGGCCTTATGGGCATCACCAACCATGTACCCTGCTGTTTTTGATAATAGCGCGTGGTTTCGATAATTTAAAAAAAAAAGAAGGAAAGAAGAGGGGAGAGGGGGGGTAGGGAGCAGGCCTCAATTCCGTGCTATTATCAACTACTTGCTATTAGCTGCTAGGCCGTCTTCCCCGAACACAACCCACCCTCATTTTGGCTGTATCTGGCCGGAAATATAACTCGTATACATTCATTTTTAGGGTGCGTTATGTTTGGGGGAAGACGGTAGGCCGTCTAAAAGCCGCCACGGACTTACAAGTTACAACAGGCTGAGCTTGGTGGGTGTGGTTTCTCTATTGATTTTGGGCCTTCCCACACCACTGTAGAAATGAAGAGAGGGCGAGTGGATGTTCCGGCATTAAGTGGCCAGATGCATCTCATACTATGAATAGTAATGGATGCATCTTGCCGCTTTCTGTGGAAGATGCACTCGTACTCTTTCCATTTCAACAGTGGTTTGGCGAGGCGCTTTGCCAAGTTCGAGAGGGCACGAGGAGATTCATGGACTGTAATGAACTCTTTTGGTTCTTTGTTTTTTTTTTTTTTTTTTTTGTGGACCTTTTTCT